CCCCCCCAATTCATCCTTGCCCTCAGCAGGCACATCATTTTGTCTCTCACAATTAAGCCATAGTGGAGTTTGAAACTAGATTTCAATCAGCTTCTCTCTGATCCTGTGGATGGGTCTCAACTACATTGGTATACAAAGTTTTTCCCTCTGTTCCTTCTTTCTCACCTCTCAGAAGGAAAAAATGAAATACTTTTTTTAGAAGTCTACTAAGTGTTTTGATGTTTAGGATTGACACAGGAATCCACTCTTTAGCTCATTTCAAATATGGTAGAAATTCAACTATCTAAAAAGAATAATAGTTTTATGATTTTAAAATTCAAGAGATGGAAATTTTGTTGCAGCACAAAGTGTTGTAATATTAGCCTTACCAAAAAAATATTCTTAAATGCAAAAGGAAAGCATTTAACAAAAGCATTTAAAAAGTCAATTAGTATTAAAGAAATATTATCAATATAATTTTGATGTCTTACAAGAAAATTATGCATATGAAAAAAGGCCCTAAACTTAACAGAAGTTCTGCTTAGACTTAGTGTTAAGAATCCGTACTTCCCAAACTAATGAACTGTTGCTGATAAAATTTAAAGGAACAAAATTCATTATATTTTCCATCAGTCATCATTAGGATTCAGAGTTAATACCCATAGTGCTACCTTATACCTGTTCAAAAATGTCACAGATAGTGATTTGTGCATACAGTGTCACACAGCATTTATTTGATGAGATGTTAATTAATTTTATTGCTGGTGGTATCTTTCTTTAGTAACTCTTGGGGCTACAAGAAATATATCTGAACAGATTGCTGACTGGTACATCTTACCACTTACACTCCAAGATTCACTAAAACTACTTAATAAGTATATTCACACTGAGTTTCTTTGGGAACTATTGGCTAACATCAGGGATTACTGAGGTCTACTAACAGTCATTACTGAGATGATCTTTTGACTCAAATTCTTGTAGAGGAGAAAAAACCCATGTCAGTAATATCAAAACCAAGGATAATTGATTATGTACAATCTTCATGCAGCTACTCCTATGCAAGACTGGTAATACTGCCCCAGTTACTATTACTGTGTCACACCATTACAGGGCACATGAGAAAGCACTGCAATATTCTGCCAGAGAAAACAAGAATATGCTGTTCCATACAAATACTTCCCTTTCACTGATACTACTTTTTGTCAGAGGCTGTTGCTTGAAAAACAGTTCTGTTAGGATCATTTTGTTAGCTGTAAATCAAATAGAAATACAAGGTCAAGCTCTCACCTGGAATACTGGGGAGAAATTAAATTAACTGCCTGTATTTGCTAAGTAATAATTCCTTATTCTTTAGTAACAATTCTGGCTTTAGAAAGAACAGGAAATAGCAAATGCAAAAATTAACCCAGAAGTTAAGATAATGGGAGGGGAAGGCTGATCTGTAATAGAATATTGTCTTATAATACTGCCCTCTTACTCAGGTCTAAAGCCATTATTATAAAATCAAGTGGGGGACTGTAAATAGACATACATGAGCCATACATGCTCCTAACCAATGAAACAAACATTTCTCATTCCGTCTGGAATAAAGCTTTGGATCAAATTTTATCAAGTAGCTATAGGAGTATCAGCTACATGAGCAGATTCTACTGGCCACCTCTTTGATTTATCT